CAATCACTGTATTAGAGTGTGCTCTGTCCTATTTCGTTTATATTACATGCTACTAACTGAGTTATATCTTTTGGCAGTCACATACCTAAATATTTAATAGACTTGGTACAAATACGAAACTGGTATTTCTTAAACGGATGGGTAACTAAACTTTCAAGAGTGTGCTCTGTCCTGAACGCCTGCAGCGAGAGAGGGCTTGCTTCCTGAACACTGGACCAATCTTTTTCAAGGAAAGTGATAAAACAGACTCATTAAAATCAGCCCTGGGTTGAAATCGGTTTGGCAATCCGCAAGTGTTCCTCCTCTGCTTCCTCTGTTCTTTCTTACTCAGAGGATGCTTGAGAACGTTGTTGCTGGGCTGACTTTCTTTGGATTTAATGAAGGCCCAGAGAGGCAGGGGACACAACAGATGGCTAGCGAGATGAAGGTACAATGAAAAACTGGACATCTCGTCAGCAAACGAGGCCAAGGATATCACAGTCTATCGTTACATTTCGGTGAGTTTGTCTTTTCCTTTGAAAGAAATTTCAAAGGTCATTCTTTCATCTAACTGCCTGGGAGTTGAGAAGGAAAAACAAATCAACACTCCAGGTGACTTTTTCTACACAGCTCTAGTGAAAAAAAAACACTCCCAAGAAGTTATTATGGAAATTGGCATCTTACATACTCCTACTGATTGGGCCACAGACTTCAATGGACAGAAAAGTCGACGTAGAAAAACAATCTATAGTGACATAAAATGTTGGGAGAAGAAAATAGGAAGGGCAGCTCAAATTCTGCCCCCGGCACCCTGGACCATCTTCTAGAACATCTCTCCTAGGATGTAGCAACCTGGCTTTCAAGAGTTTTAGAAGGGGCCATGCTTGTGATGGCACCAACGGGCAATACCTAAAGAAGGATGCTAGGAGTTGTAGTTCAGCAACATCTAGAGATCACAGCTTCTCAACACTGTCTAAAGAGGGGCACCCAGAAAACAACCCTTAGTTGGTGTGGTGGTTTGGAACTGCAGGGTGAAAGTACGACTTGTTTGATCTTACCGGCAACTGTTGTCACCGTCCATGTGGAAGGACGTTTCTGCTTTCTTCAAGCCCAAACGGGAAAACGAGTGGTACAGGGTCAGTGCAACATCACTAATGCTGTGGATCCCATCTGGTTCATCGTACACATTCTCCCAGTATGATCGAAGGCCCGGAGTACCCGATGGATAGTTACCATAGAGGTAATAATCCAACTGAGCAATGACTTCTTGGTTCACAACTGCCTCAAACTTGCGTGCAAAGAAGGTTGGTCTTGCCGTTTGCTGTGGTGATGAACATGTTTCAGAAGGAAAAATTACACCCAAGTTCTTGAATACAAGGCTTTACTTTCAGAATACAAATCCTTTACTGTTAGCCATGCGTGCTGGGGGCTGATGGGCATTAAAATATGGAACATCTGGAGGACATCAATTTGCTTAGTCCTGAGCTGTTTCCTCCATGCTAGCAAATCAAGGAAAGTCTCCTCTCTTCCCAAAGAAGTTTACTGACCCTCCCCCACATTGGACTTCAGGTAGATCTTGAAAAAAATGACTGTAGTTTAATGAGACACCATTTTCTGGACTGTTTGGAATTGATTTTCATTATAATATTTTAATTCTTGAATGTATCTCTCCTATATTTTAGTTTCAAGGATTGCTAGACTGTCCTTTCAACAAACCAGATACCTTTTATTTATTTGTTGCTTTATCTCTTGAGAGCTCATGGTAATGTATATAAGGATCTTCCAACATAATAAATCTGTGAAGGTGTTTTGGCTAAGCTAGAGTGATTGCAATGCCTTAAGTCACTCTGTGAGTTTCTACAGCTGAGGGTGGACTTGAATCTTGGTCTCCCTGATCCAGTCTATCACGTTCTCTGATGTCTGTGAAATTCTATCACTTCTTTCCATATATGGATTGCCCTCCAAAGTCATCTGAATCACACCCAGTGTCTAAGCTAGACTGATGCTTTCTTCCAGACATTACTGGTTGGGCTACGCTGCACTGGATAAATTAGAATTGGCTTCACGCAGGACACCATAAAGACATTGTGAGAGATGGATATTATGAGAGATGGACAGAAGGATGGACAGACAGACGGACGGATGGCGGATGGACATACAGATGGACAGGGACGGACAGACAGCCGGCCAATGGACAGACAGACGGCAGGTGGACAGACGGATGGACAGACGGACGGCGGATGGACAGACAGATGGACGGGCAGACGGACAGACTGATGGACAGGTGGACGGATGGATGGACAAACAATTGGACAGACTTATTCCATTGTTGCTCATCTGTGGCAGCCCTTCACTGCCATTCATAAGGAGGCATTGAACATTTTGCTGCAGTTTTCAACTTCTTACATGTGTGAGCAAGGTTTTTCTTATTTAACAAGCATCAAAAGCAAAGACAGAAATCATCTTATTTCAGCTGAAGATGAAATCCGTGTGTGCTTATCTGAAGTTCGGCCCAGAACTGAGTATTTGTAGAGCAAAAAACAAGCACAGGCTTCACATTAAAGAAGTAAGTTTCATTCATTTTTTTTAGTTTAATTGTGTGAACAAAGAAAACAGGTTATTCAGCTCATTGTTTTCAGGGCCAGACCTCAAATGGAACCTGGTAAATCACTTCCCTTGTTCCAAAAGAATCACTTCAGGACAATGGCCAATTGTCCCCAGAACTGCCAGATTGGTGCATTCTGGGAGAAAAATGGAATATTCCAGGGAATACTTGACTAGATCTGTCTAGCTCAACTCGCAGCAACATTTTTTTTCAAGATCTGGCCTTGCCCTTAATGGAAAGACTTTGAAATACTCACAATGGAGGAATGATTGGTGAAGATGATGGAAGAGACGGCAAAATTAATTTGTTTAGAGAAAGGCCAACTACTACAAGATCAACTACTACATTTATTAGTGACTGGAAACCCTTTATGGACTTTTTGCTTAAAAAAGAAAAAAAATGAACTTGTGATTTTTGGATTTGATGATTAGAAAGGATAGATTATGAAAAGAAGGAAATTATGATATAACCTTAGAGAGGGTAAAATATAAATGCATTTATAACCACTGTTAAGAAGATCGGAAGCTACTTCTTTGTAACCTTTCTTTATTTCTTTTCTATTTCTCTCTTTTTATTTCTTCTTCACTTATCACTTTTCTTTATTCTTCTTACTTTCAACTTAAAATTTGTACTTTTTAAATTTTGTTGAAAACCTTCTTAATAAAAATTATACATTACACACACACAGACATATATATATTTATATATATTTATATATATATAAATAAAAAGAAAAAGAAAGAAAGAAAGAAAGAAAGAAAAAGAAAGAAAGAAAGAAAGAAAGAAAGAAAGAAAGAAAGAAAGAAAGAAAGAAAGAAAGAAAGAAAGAAAGAAAGAAAGATCTGGCCTTGCACTTCTGTGAAGGAGGACCCATTCAGGCCACAACTCACCTGGAACCGGTGAAAATCAGATGGCTTGAAGTCATTGGGAGAACAACCACACCAATCCACAATATTCTTGTACTGACATTTGCACCCCAGCTTTCGGTTCCAGTTCGTGATACGCAGGTTATTGTCTACCATGGACTCACAATGAGGACTGTTTTCCAAGACAGTGTGGAAGAAAGACTGTGAAAAAAAAAATTCCAGAGTTTTGATAGAGTGAGCTGGCATGGGAAGTCAAGGTTTCTTGAGATAGGAACCAACACACCCTGGCCTAAATAGCTGAGTCTACTACAGTGTTTTTCAACCTTGGGTACTTTAAGATGGGTGGACTTCAACTCCCAGGATTCCCCAGCCAGGCTGGAAGTCCACCCATCTTAAAGTGCCCAAGGCTGAGAAACGCTAGTCTACTATATCAGCTTCGCCATTGGCCTTAGATTGGTTCTGTAGCACGGTGGTTAACAGCATGCTCGGGATGGAAAATATGATCTACTTCGAGGTGCCTACATTTGGTAAAGGAAACTACATTAAATAAATATATGATAATTAATACAGTCTGAGCATTAGCCCCAGGCATCTCCAGGACCTCAACAACACCAAAAAACGATTTTAGAAACTTCTAGGAAACTCTGCAGAATCCCTTCTTCTCAAAGTACAAAATATTGGGTGGGCAAAATATCTGTTCTAGTATCCATAAGTAATAATAACGACAGAGTATCACAGCATGTTCTTAGGTTTTCAGTTCAAATCCTGACAAAACTTTACTGGATGACTTTACGCTGGTTGCTTACTTCTCCCTTTCTAACATACTCCTAACTTACTGCCATAGCTGATTTGAAGAGGAAAACTGGCAAATTGTGAGTATTGTTCTGTAAATCTTGACAGAATGAAGGAATGTGAAAAATCAGGTTGCCAGAGATCCTGTTAAGTGTATCAGTGAAATTACTCAACTAAGTATTGTTGATAACAGCTCTTCACAGTCTTTCAGACCTAGGTGGATATCCTATTCCTTAGTTACAGTCTCAGCTTTTACCATCTTCAGAGAGTGGTGGAGATATGTGGATATCTCACTGACAAGTCTCTGGATTGTGGAGCTTTTCATCAAAAGATGTTCAAATTAACCCATTCTGTCTAAAGCGGTAGAAGTTATCAGTAATCAAACTTCTTTTCTGCTTTCTCTCTCTTTCTCTAACCCTTAATATGCTTTAATCTTCTGTTGCTGGTAAAATCACTCAGTTGTTGGATGGATAAACTAACAGTTTTGTTAGGGATCGCGTTGGGCATGAAAAAAAAATATCCCTCTTACTTTTAACCATTACATTTTAATCTCTCTGTCACAGGAGGTCTCAAATGTTGTAATCCTGCAACTGGTTGTGCAGCAAAAGCAAGCAGCAAAGCCCAGGGTGAGTTTTACAAACTTGATTGGGTTTTAAAAATATTTGACCCCTCTCCAAGGTCTTTGTGCCCCTCCTGCCCCCCACCTGGGGGTCCCTGACTCAAAGCTTGAGGACTCCTGTTGTCAGGCTTTTATTGATGCAGTGCATTTGAAAGAGAACTGATTCTTTTGGATTTTTTTTCCCCTGAAGGGAAACTAAAGATTAAAAGGTTAAAACAAAAGCATTGAACAAAACTGTAGAACCAATGTACTCAATAAAAAAAAAATTCCACTGTAGCTCAGGAGAGCTATGACAGTTCTGAGCTCTGTATTTTGAAATACGCTTTGCGATATTAACACTAAAAAGGAGCAGGAAACAGAGGATACACATTTTATTCCAGCTTGGCTCCTTTTTTCTCCACTCTGCTACAGTCAAGGTTTGTTTCTGCTGATGAATTTCCCAAAGCCGTGCAGCAGGCCAGATCAATCCGCTAACAAAATCATTTTCAAGAAATACTATAAAAACAAACCCCCAATAAGCCCCCCAACTCCAAAACAAAACAAAATCAAAACATCGACTAACACCATCGTTGCTTTACTTGGAAGCTCTAATATGTTTATAATGATCTCATGCTGAATTATGCCACTTGCCCCCCACCCCCTCCCAAGGACAAGCTGTCTCCTGCAATTATTTCCAAAATGCTTACGCCACTATTTGCTGTTTGAAGGCAGACAGGAACTCTGATCTGGAAGGGAAGCTGTTTTTTTTTTTTCTTTTCCATTTTTAATTAGATCCCTGCAATTTTAACGTTTTGAAATCCCAGGTAATGGTGTGGCCCCGTAGGGCATAGTGGCATTTACACATTGAGGAGGAGGAGGGGGAGGAGGAGGAAGAGGAGGGAGAAACACAGCAGAACCCACTTTTCCAAGACAAAAGGGCACATGGATTATCAAAACATTTACGTGTGCTTAACTATGAATTCCAATAACCCTTGCCAAGCTGGATGGGGATGCTAGCTGTTCCAGGTCAGCAGCAGCTGGGGAGCTCCCAGTTGCACACCACATGTGCAAAGTTAGAATTGTTCGTAAGGATAAGAATGATTATAATCTTCAACCACAGACCCGACAATCGTTGAGAGAGAGAACACTTTCAAATAGAAGATGTTCTCTGTAAGTGTGGAGAGGGGAATATATAATTATCTAACTCTTGTGTTCTGCTCTTAAAAATTCAATGCCCAGGATGAGGAATTATCTTGGTCACTCCAAGGAAAGACTGTACGGTCACTGCAGGAGACAGCATGACCGAACAATGATTGTGGAGCTCATAAAACCAGGTTCCGGGAATTCACAAGGTCTAACCTCTTGGTTAGGTAAACTCACAGAAACCCCAAAGATGGCATGTTCTCAAGGACCTCCTTGACCTTGCCAAAATATTGCCATTTTTCAACTGCTAAGAAGCCACAACAGCAGAGAAGAAGAATATGGTGTCACTTGGTCCTTGTTTTAGTATCATTTCAGTATTTTAGAGCAGAGAAGTAGGTGAAAGCATTTTCAATACATTAACAAGCAAACAAAACTTTATAAGATCGGACATCTTCAAAGGAGAATAAGCCATGGTATTGGACACTTGGGAGATGTGATGCAGGATATGGAATCTTGCTTGGCTATTTGATGGTATTCTTGTTGAGAAGGCTGTAAGTTTACTCACCTCAGCAGGAAGCAGAGTAAAGGAATAGAACCTTTTCATCTTTGTCACCAAGTCATCAGTTGAAAATATGATGTATTCCACAAACTTCCTGTTTAGCAGAAACCAGTCTGAACCACCATCTACAGTGATTCCTTCTGGAATTTTCCGATCCCCAAGTCGCCACATGTGGGTATCACATTCCAGAAACAGCCTATCAAGGCCTTGTTTCCTAATAAATCTGGATAATGAAGAAAAAAGGAATGCTTAGGAAGTGTATCTTACCATGAAAGGAAGAGAAGGAAAGGAAACTTGTTAAACAGGATAAATAGGGAGAAAGTAATCACACCAAGGTCAACCAAAGACATTTTGCTTCCTTGAAGGACAAGATGGTAACTCTTCTCATTTCTTTATTTTAAAAATATTTCTAATCCCCAAATTGTGCCAATCCCCGAGCAGTAGAATATTGCTCTTGTCTAGAAAACTATGGGCCCACTTGAGATTTATTGTGAATTAATGTCATGCTGGTTAATATTGGGTTTTGCTGGCAACCTCAGATGTTAATGGTTGCTGTTAAATTGTGTTTTTAATGCGTGGACACTGTCCAGAGTCCCTTTTGTGAGATGGGTGGTCATGTAAATTGTTTAAAGACATAGATTTAAAGAAATGAATCTAGGAATTAAACTAATGGAAAGTCTTCCAACCTGCACTGTCAATACATTTTAAGACATGTTTCCAGTGGCAAAATAATAGACACAACATAGGAAAGATGGTTTACCATGGAGAAAAAGGAGGACATGAGTGAATAGGAATGGCTGGGTTATAAAACAGAGGGAGAGAAGAACGAACTTCTGAAACTTTTCTGTCTGGACAATTAACAGCCTGATTTTTAAATAGACTTCTTTTTAAAACCAAGGAAGGCAAGTAAGATACTAAACCCCATTATGGATCTAATTAAACCCAACCCAACCTAGACACTCAAAACCTGTTGGCACATTAAGGAATTGAGGAGACAAAAGTGAGTTAAAAAAAAAAGGAGTTATCTTTTTAAAACAACCATCAACAAGATTCTAATTTCACATTCAATTACAAAGGATAATGGAAAAGCTTTGCAATTTTAATGCAGAGGTTCTAGAATCTCCACGTACAATATTGAGTCAATTCTATGCAGAATCAAATATTTATGGCTATGGAGGTTTATATCATTGATTTTTATTTTGGGGGGTGGGAGGACAGAAAGAAATGGAACCCATGGGGGGTTACTTTACTTTGAATGCATTATATATATATATCTCTTTAAGAAAAGGGGTTTTTGTTATGCAATGAAAGAGTGGTCCACAGATTCACCTAACGTTCTCATTCTTTAATGTTTTTTTTAAAGTCTAAGTTAAAAACTTAAGTTTTAGGTTAAGAAGTGTTTTAAAAATACATGATTATATTGTAGGTTCAGATGATTTATAGGAACAATCCACTGATGTGAAGGGAAGGGTCTTATATTTTCATGCCTGCTTTATACAGTTACAAGAATGTGGAGCCATCTCAGAGGGTTTGCTTGGTTTCCACTCAAAGTGAATAAAAATCACCCACAAAGCTAATTACTGCTGACTGCAACTTGGAAAAATCTGAAAAAGAATAAAAAAAAAAAACCTAAAGAAGGAGAAGCTAAAATTCGATCTCCGGTAAGTCCTTCCAGTGAAAGGAGCAGGACAAAGAAATTACTGTCTCAGCTTTGACTACCAGCTATTAAATATTCATCTTCTGACATTAATCAATAGAATTTGTTACAATGACGTCTAAGTGACATTGCGAAGGCCGAAAGATGGCCTCATATCCCCTGCTTCATTCTCCTTAACAACAAACAGATTTGTTGGGAGCCTTTTCTAAACAAATGGGTTGTCACTGTTCCCTTTAACATATGTTTGCAGAGTCACATGGTTCACGAAGCAAAAGTTGTGCCAGTGCTACAAAATGTGCTGTTTAACCATAGCCTTCCTGAATCCGGTTTCCTTCAGAAAGGTTGGACCTCCATACCCAGCTTCCTTCTGCCAGCCTAGCATGAATTAATGGAAACCTCTGTTTCAGGATGGGGACGATAGGCTTCTTCAAAAAATAGTAGTCATTATTTAGCAAGGAAGTTAAATCCTCTTTCAGTACAGCCTCCAAAGAACCATATTGGCTATGAAAATAAATACATAAAATTCCAGAATAGTTTGAGGAGATCTCTTATTTAGTTTAAGCCTTCCACCTTCCCACAAGTTACCAGGGGGGATTCATCTGTAATTTTCCAGATGTAAACACGGCAGCCCTTCTTTTCGCAGAGCAATGAATTTTAAAACAGGTTCAGAGTATCACACACTCCATTTCACAACTGACATGTCATGTGTTTATTCAGAATATTTATAACTTCTGAGCTCTGTTAAAATCAGGGCCTTGAACTACTAAAGTTGTTTTGTTCTAAATGGATGCCAAGTTTGGAGCTGCGTTACTCTGATAGGGGTATTACTGGCAACTGAAAATCTGCATTTCAGAGTTTATTCTACCAAGAATGGGAGCATGTCCCTTGCCAGCTGCAGGGGGTTCAAACCAGCTAACCAAGTTGGGTTCATATGTCTCATTAAGCCATAATATGACCTCTTAGTTTATATATTAATATAGCTTGCAAAATTTGAATTGTGGGTTAGCATGTTGTGAAGGGTTATTCAATGCACCACGGTTTAGCATAATATTTGAACCAGGTTGCAGAGAATGCAATTCATCCCAAAAGGCACATCTAAGAGTTTCTGCATTAACAGCAGAAGTAGGCATGTTGATTTTCATGTCTAACATACTGCCAACTGCTCTAGTCAAAACAAGTCATGATTAGATATCCAAGGATGTGGTCTAAGGTAGCAGCTCCTTTATGCATGGAAAGAATACAGTAGAATAAAACCATGGATCTTAATATTCTGCTGGTGTAGAAGACAGAATATTGCTATCTTAACATTGAATTCATTCTAAGGAGTCAAATGATTAATAAATTCTAATACATCTACAAGTTGGAGAAAGTTTCAAGAAGTTCAAACCAGCACTTATACGAATCTTCCTCGATCCGAGTGCCCTCCAAATGTAGGGACTTCAGCTCCCAGAATTTTCCAACCAGCTGGAGGACACCCAAGTCAAGAATGGCTGACGTGACAGATCCAGAAATAAGCTTCTGACCTTAGCTAAGAATCTCATCCAGTGTTCCAAGAAGGAACATTTAGATTTTAAACACAATCCAAACTTAATTTATTTTCCAACAGGACAGCCAATCCTTTTCACTCCATTTTCTTAGCAGATCCATTTTTCCTTTTAGCAGCAACTTCAAAAATGCATTCATTAAACTGAGTAGAATTCAGAAGAGTCAAGAAAGACATGGTGAAAAGTACAAGCAAGAAAGGGTTTATTGTTTTATTACAGCAAACCAGGTGCTTTTATATCAGAGAACACAGAGTAATGGAATACTCTCTGTACAGTAGATATATTTCTAAAGGCTTTTGCATTCGTCTTCATCTTCACCTCCTTTTTTCCCTAAAACGTGCTAATATTTCAAGAGCTACATCACTCCTGCAATTATCACATTCTGCTTTCCAAACGAAATAAGCATGATGTCTGCAGCCAAATGCATTTCAAGGAACCATCATACTCAAGCCAACATGAGAAGCAGGGTGAAATTCCCAATGAGAGATAGGGTGAGGGAGGCGAGGAAGTCAACTCCATGTAATGCCACCAAATGCTGGAGAGAACACGAATGCTCATAGGACCAAAAGGCTAAAATATTTGGCTGCAGGGAGAATAAACTGTGCTTTATGCAAATATGCAGTAGTTCTGGGCACTAAATGGGTAATTCATTGTTACAATAATATACAGGCATTTACTGGCAATGCCAATTCAGGCTAGTGGGATGATTAACTCCTGGAGCTCCACAGCCCAGCATCTGCTTTGCAGGCTGAAGATGGCAGGTTTGGTCCTCAGCCTTTCCATGTAAGGTTGGGATGACCTCCTGGTTGAAACTGGGAAGAGGGAATGCCAGTCAGGGTGGACCAACGGGGAAATGGCTATAGTGCAGCTTCCAAATTGTTACTGAAGCATGCATGGTCCACTTGCCACTTATTTGGAGTTGCTTCCATTTTCATTAACTTGAAAAATGATAAATTAGGAGACTGATATGGGATAAAGGAGATTTCTATATTCTACATCCTGAAGGAAGCACAGGGTGCAGCTAGCTGATGGCCAGGATTTATTTATTCATTCGGTAAATTTATACGGCTGCCCAACTCATATACGTGATTCTGAGTGGCTAACAATGAAAACAAATGAAAAACAGTATAAAGCACCCAATGTTTTGAAAAGACCACATCAATCACACAGAACATTCACAACATCTCACATTCAGATCAATCATAAAATGGGCTTACCCCTCCTACCAGGGCTCCAGGCTAGATGGCAAAGCCAAGTTTTAATGCCTTGCAAAAGGCCAGCAGAATTGGGGCAAGCCTAATCTCAGGGGGGATGATATTCCAGAGGGTGGGTGCCACAGCAGAAAAGGGTCTCTTCCTGGATCCTGCCAGATGGAACTCTCTGGTGGACAGGACAAGGAGCATGCCTCTCCTGGCAGATCTAACAGGATGAGTAGACACCACTGGGGAGAGGTGATCCTGTAAGTAACCTGGCCTCAAGCCAGAAGGATGGAGCCATGAAGGATGAAACCCACTGGAGCCTTTTGAAGCTTGAGACATTTCTTTCCCATAGGGATGTGAAAACCTGTTTTCAGGCAGGGATGTCCAAGCTGCACCTACTGATACCTCCTTAGCAAAGCTACATCTTCTCCTGTGCCGATCACAGTAGTTGGGTGAGCCCAGGAAAATATACACTTGAGTTCAGGAGGTATCAACAGCATACCCCTGCCTGTTCCAAAGCACCCTGTTGTGTGGTTACTACTTGAGTGCAGAAGAAGATGGAGGTTCTTTAAGAAGGTGATGATAGGTGTGATGTACATGCCCACACCCACTCCAAAACCCTTGTCTGGCTCTGGATCTGAAGTGCTGCACATCCCAACTTTCGAGGAATTACTTGGAAATACAATTAAAACCAAGACTGGTGGGGTGTGTGAAGAGGCTCAAGAAATTAATTTGCTGGGAATTTTGACATGAACCATTTTGCAATCACCCAGTGTGACATCTGCACACTCTCCATGCTACTTTGCAAAGTGGGACTACATTTTTTGTGGGATGCTGCATTTCTCCAAATTCGGTTGTTCAGTTCTTGACTCCCCTCATCTGACCCATGTTGCAGAGTGGGGAGGGGTGTTCCTTCATGAGGCAGCTTCCAAGGGATGCTTGATCACAAGTGATGTTTCCCTGCAAAGCTTTGCACAGCCCTAATCTTTACAAAAGCCCATTCTGTATGACAATCAATTCAAAATATTCGCAATATAAATGCAAATGTCTACATTTTCATGTTAACATCCTAATTGTACTGAGCACTCTGCAAACATCTCCTTGGATACAAGGAGCACAGAAAAGCAGAGTTAAAAGGGCATATAATACGAACCTTTTCTATATAGTGTAAACATTTCATACAGGGACATATTTTTGTGTCCAAGTAGAGAGTCCAACATTGGGTCCAACTTTGAAGGAACACAAAAGCTGGTCCAGACCGTGGGGATGAACCTCTGCCCTCCTCTGAGTAGAAAATAGTTTTGATTTTCCAATCATGACAGGAAAGATGGAGAGAAGGAAACTTATGGAAGATGTGGAGTGGGATGGGAGCACAGGGGTCCAATAGAAGCCATGATGGTGTCATGATGTTTGTGATGTTACTTGCCCCTCTGGCCACCCATGGAAGGGAAGTAATATAAAAACTATAAGCATCAGTGCTTTCTGAAGCTGTTATGAAATCTGTGCCAGGTCTGGGGCTCTGAGTATACACTTGTTTTCAGAGTTTGCAAACTATTTCATTCCTAGCAGTTGGGTCATCTCCCCACTGATGGTGATGGAGGCTGTTTCACCCCCATTACCCTTTCTGGCAGTCAGGAGCAATGCTGTGTTTTTCAGCCTGTGGTGCTTTGTAAAGTATTTGTCACCCAGAAGCCTCTTCTCAGATGTCCTGTTTCAGAAGTGCTAAAAAGCCAGATGTTACAGTGGGTGGGGGAGGTTGATTTAAAAACAAAACAAAACCCTCATGGAAAAAAATCATGAGAACTCCATTAACTCTTGTAAGGTTTGGCCATGGAGGAATAGGATGATACCTGCCCTATTAAGCAAGAACAAAGAATTATGCTGATTAAAATTGCCCACCCAAGCTAGAGATTTTGGCTGATGACCTTGAAGGTCTCTTCTGCTCTTTGATTCTGAGTTTGCCACAATATATTTGGGTCAGTTAGAAGCTGTCATTTCTCCTACTGGCCTGTATATTCAACAACCAGAAGATGAAAATAATTTCTGCTTACGTAGACTTACTCATTTTCCAACTAGAGCAGACTTAATATTTTGGCCAAAGAAGATGGTTTGTTGTTTTATACCAAGGCACATTTTCCTTTCACTTAGCCATTTCCCTTTCAAAAACAGCAGAATGTGCCTCCTGATTTGTAAAATGGGGTACATTTCTGGAGCTTCACAACTCCTGGTGGGCACCTTTTATTTTAATTGTGCTGTTTCCGTTGTGCTTGCAATGAACCTTAAAAAAACCAAACCGAACCCTAAAATCCCTTTATATAAAACTTTTAAAGAAAAGATAAGTGATTCTGAATAATACATAAATTGCTATGGAAAGTAAGGGCATTCATCTATCCAGCAATGTTCTGAGATGTAATTAACTGTTTATGTATTCTGGAGGGAGACCATCTATTAAAGCCACAAACAATTATTCTGCAGAAGAGAGGCCAAATGGCACATTAGTGCACCTTATCACTAAATTAATAAGCAGATTTAATTCATCTACATTGTTGTGGTCACAAACAGGGTTAGCTTCTTAGGCTGAACTTCATCTGCTGCTGAAATATGTGCACCTTCTCCTTGTATTTATTTTCTCAGTTTGAGGATCAATGATCAGATGAGTCAGATCCCAACCAAAGAATTTTTCCATTTCCTTCCTATGGGATTGGTTAATCCAACCCAGCTTCTTTTTTGCCGTTCCCAGAAACCCCCCCCCCCCCCAAATAACATCACATCTTTTGTTCATTATCTCATCAAGATACAGAAGAGAGAGGCCATCACCTTGCGTTGTCTCTTCCATGCGACTTCAAGAAGTTCATGTTGCGGTACCTTGACAGGAATGCGACAAGCTGGTCATTTGTCCTGTGAAACATTTGGGGAAAGAATATGAAAAAAGATTAACATTAGCCCTGATCATCAGTAATGCTGTCAGAAGAAATGATAATTTGGATTTGCATATACCCATTTGCCTAATCAGCAACTTCAAATAAAGATCGTCCTAGGGCAGTGTTGTCCAAACTTGGCCACTTTAAGATGAGTGGACTTCAACTCCTAGAATTC